TGTAAAATACCCTTACGGTTAACAACATAAACCCATAACCAATAAGTTATTTAGTCAATCGCTTTCAGAGGTAGCCGTATTGGCTGGTACCGACGAACTTGTCAGAGAAATGCAAGTTGTAATTCGCCAAAAAGATTCAGTTAAAGAAATTCTTTCAAACTAAGCAGCTATTTGGTTTGTAAGTCATATATGGCATATGGTCTTCAAGAGCCTTCAAGAGCCTATCATGTAGTTCAATTACGCCACAATATCCCACAGTCTACAGTTTTACCTTAATTATGGTTACATTCTCTTCTTTGGCTTATGCTAATTTCTCGTGACATTTTCCACTAAGGAGGGATTCTCAACAGATGCCTAAACTTCTGTGGGCGGTAACTTTTTCCATTTGTTAAAAAATAAATATTTAATAAGAATACACCCGACAGCTAGTGTTTGGACTTCAATCTTAAATAAAACATTGGTGTAATTTAAACACATAAAAGAAACAATTTTTATACTAGAAATGAAAACATTACGTTTTAAATTCTTTAAAAACCTTTTGTAATATCCGAAACGATTTAAATGTTTTAAAATATCATTAATAAAACTGTCAAAACTATTTTTGGAGTACAGAAAGTTCAGAGGGATTTTTTTTTTCAAAATATCAATTCTTGATTTGTTTCAAATTCAAGGAACCGTTTTAATTTCAAAAGAGAGGCGGAGGGGGCGCAGGGAGACTCGCTGGTATATCTTTAAAGCCCTAGGAATTATCGCAAGGGATGGGTGGCATTACATAGTCCCTAACAACCTCCCATACGGAGGCTCGGGTGTACCAGTACACAGTCTAATATATGCATTGTACATATTATTACTAAAATATATTTACATTGTGTGCTGGTACACGAAAGTGTGAGGATCACGGCTTGCCATACTACTTTACGCAAGCTATTTAAAGGTTACATTAGAGTATACTGCAGGTTTATTTACTTTTTTGCAATTAGCGCATCGGTACTCTTGTGCAAAATTTCACACCTTGCTGTTAACTTCACTAAACTTTCAAATTTACTTCGATTTTTTCATTTCGCATCCATCAATCTCCTACCTTTAATATAATTCGAAAGAATTACACGATAATATCTCATTTTTAAGTACGAATTAACTCGTATTGTATATCACTTCTTTTTGTATTCTTGCTATCAAAGCACATATTCTTCGATCTATCAAGAATGACTCAGTTAAAATTAGTCGGCTAATAATTGAAAGGTGAATAAGAAAGAAAATAAACCTAAGCACCCAATTATGACGTGTGCTACAATGAAATATGGAAAAGTTGCAAAATGATACATTTTCTAGAAAAAAATTATTTAGCTTCTGTTGAGCGAGAGTTATCTGAAAGTGCTTCGATTTTGTTGTTATTTATTTGATGAGAATTTACATGATACCATAATATTTTAAAATACTTTAAAACAAATATTTTTATCTTTATTATATTTCATTGAATATTGTGTTTATTATTTATACCCAACTTCTGTACAGTTTCTCGCTTCAACTTTAAAATTTAAAATGTTAACGTTTCACCCACACATATTTTCGTGCCATAAATTACTTAATGAAAAGTATAAAGCACCTTATAAGTTGTGGTAGGGAAAAAGGTTCTTCTCGTGACAAGTAAAATGTAACTCCTAAAATTCATTCAATTAAAAAAACGTTAAGGTAGAAAAAGATATTCAATTTGTATGAGAGAGATTCCCTACGTATTTTGCACATGTTTTCCAGATATCCCATCACTTCTTAATTGTATCTGAATTATTTTTCTCATAATCATACCTTTTCTTTTCCGGCAGCAAATAACAATTGCCAGCAAATCATTATTTTCATAATTTAAATATGAATTATGGTAGTAGAATTTTATTTTCGAAATTTAATTTTAACTGTTTAATCGGATTCTTGAAGGTAATAGAAACTTAAATGTCCTGCTTTCATTAACTCTATAATTTTAAAATTTAATTATTGAAATATTCCAAAATATACTCCACAGCGGCGTTGAATATATTCAACGTGTTTCGTTGAGCAGAACCCATGAGATGTAAACAATCGATGTTATTGTTTTTAATAGTAATTAACGTCATTTAGCAGACATAAAGGAAATAACGAAAACGGTTGAAATTTATAAATTCTAGGCGATTCCCGGCGTATAGTATGTTTTATAGTATCGGCTGTGTGACGTTCAATACTTTTCGTAATACCACCTTCTTTTAAGAAATATTCAAACTAATAAATACCTTTTTTTAAAATAACAATAGCCTACATATACACTATCATTTTCTACAATTCTTTTGTTTCGACCGTAGTAACTTGTGGCAGTAAGTTTTCATTCTTCTGCATAGTCTCTTTATGTCAATATAACAATTGAGTATTACGAAAATTAAATAGCGTCGCCACTAAACCGCCGATCGAATGAAATATACGTACTACATATGGCGGGCGGTATGTCCCCTCAAACCCTCTGTTGTATATCCTTTTCCAGCGAAAGCCAAAATGGCGCTCCCTTCATCTCCCACGCGGGCGTCAAGAGATACATGCGGCAAGCGAGCACGTTTTCTGTACATAGGTCTGTGTCTTTTTGTACCAAATAAATATACATTTGTTTATATTAATTCTCATTTGAATTTAATTGGTAAATCAAAATTTGTTTCCCAGTCCTTACTTTCCAGATCGCGAAATGTAATCTTGGATGTGTTTACAAAATATGATCAGTGGCGGATCCTGGGGTCCCTCGGGCGTCGTACTTCCCCAAAGCCAATATTTTTTATGAAATTTAACTCTATTGATTCAAAAGAATTACAGTTGGGTTTCAATATGTATATATCAAAATTCTCTTTAAATCGAATTATTATTTTATTCCTTTGAAAATTCCCTTTAAACACGTTTCTATACATTGAAAATATATTTCTATACATCGGCCTCATTTTCTGACTTGGCTATTTTTTCTCTGAAATAAAAATGTACAGTTCATACTATAAATTATTTTCAACAATTCCGCAGGGTTTTCGATTGAGAGAAAATGTTCGAGGTGAAATGTTTCAGTGGTTTAACAAGTATGAACAGTATTTTGAAGGAGGTGTAGCGTACGTGCAACAAGACCTTACATTTATTTCAATTTTAATTCAATAAATTAGTTAGGTACGTACACAATACTAATTTCATATTACTATTCTTAAATATGTGGTACGAATGATTAAAACGTTCGTTAATTATGTATTTTTTAATTTCCCATTTTACCAAATATTTCCAAAATTGTTTAAAAGCATTTGCAAAAAGTTTATAATTATTTTTATACTTATAATTTCTAAAGTTTCTCAATTTATAATATTATCTAAGGAACCGTCAGATTCGATAAATGGAGGTCCGACTGTATTACATATTGATCGTATCGCACCACATCAAAAGGAGCGATGACAATAACACCTTCAAACAACGAAATAAGTATTTTTTTACCAAATATATTTATAATATATTTGCGGTTGGAGGGGGGGGAGGGCAATTCAAATTGCCTCATCTCCCTGAAATAGACCTTCCTGAATTCATCTCTTAAAATGGTTCTTCGATTCTCAAGCAGATATAAGGTCCTTATTTATAAATTCTTACAAAATACACATACTTGAATCAGCACATGCGCTCACTGTTTGTGGAATTTGTACGTGGACAGCTAAATGGAATCTACTTGGTCACTAATATGAATTACTCATACAATTCCTAATTACGATTCCACCCTTTTGAAGCATGGTGGACGTCCGTTTCTTTGAAATCACATGGGCAGAAAGGAGGAAGTACTATAGCTTTCATCAAGGTAAGGGCAGCCATATGTGATGCACTCGAAGAGTCTCAAAGAGTAGATGTCGTTGTGAAGTAAATTGGTGGATCTAAGGGGGGCGTGCTCGAGGACCATGCCCAAAGCCTACACTTTTGTAATATAACTCAATTTATTCAAAATAATTACCATATACAGATGTCACTACATCCAAAGCAGTATTCCCATTATAATCTACTCTTATACACTTTTTTTATTTCAAGTTAACAATTAGATCAATTATTTGAACGCTATGGATGAGGGTATAAACTGAAATTGCTCCTTTCCCCAAACTATTCAGTGTATCCGGGTATATTTGCTGATTATTGGCGGCCGGGCGCCAGACTTCACACCTAGGACACAAGAGGAAAGCAAAAAAGAAAGCAGGTTTAATCCAGGTAAATAATCATGTAGATTTTATTAAATACATATCACAAAATATTTTGTTGCGTACATAACTAATACTAGTTCTGTTGAAAACAGGGTCAGATTGACATTTTCATTGTCTTATTTGTATTTTGCCTTGTCCAATGCAAAAGTAAAGTTATACGTTTCAAGTCGTAAAATAAAAGTTAACATTTGCCCAGTTTTTAATTTAATGTGCTTATCTCAGATTAATGGACGGCTAAGAAGAATTTTGTAAAAAAAACAAACTTTGAGAAATAAGAATTCTATGGTATATGATCAAGTGCAAGTTAAAAGCGTTATTTGCGCAAGCAATTTGTTTGTTGTCAACACGCAAGATATACCAGCTGTTCACTTATCCTGACGATTCCGCTTCAAGAGTACGTAATTATTTTGGAAACGTCAATGACTAAAAATAAATTGAAAAAGAAAAGTATGAAAGTGTTTGTTTTTAAAGTAAGGTTAAAAAATACATCATTAAGGACTACATAAGAGATGTAATGAAAAAATTGTCAGGTTTACGTTACGGACAATTTCATATTTCGAACGCAATCTTGTTATACTCGTATTCTTTGTCACACATTGTCACCACACTGTGAACTTGTAAACAAAGAATATTTATAAACAAAGTTAATGGCTTTGAGCATATGTGCTACATATTTCAGTAAATTCTTATAATAAATAGAGATACCGCCCCTTTAAGTATTATTTTGTTGAATTCGTAAACAAAATGGACCACAAAAGCATAGGCACGTGTACCGTTTCTACTTTTCGGCGAGTGTGGCAACCCTGTAAAATATCAAGGAATGCGAACGCGGGGTGGTTGATATCTGCGGATAGCTGAGTTGTGGTGGCTTAAAACTCAGGTAAATAGATATCTGCTGGTTTGGTGCGTTGTGGTGTTGTTGGATTTGTTATTGTACTTATTTAAGAATACCTTAAACGTGTTAAGGAAATAAATATGTGCATGGCAGAACTTGTAATCATATTGTGCGACAATATATCGCCCAAACAGGAGCAAGAAGATTCCATATGTACGTTTTCTGTTTAATATATAAAAGATTATTCAAAATTTTCTGAAAAAAGTTGTTGATATTAATTTTTCGCCATTTGTAGAATCACGTATTATATGTCTACATTAGTCTCATTTCTGACATGTAATGAAACAACCAGCAATTTATTTCACATCAAGTTCAAAAACTTTTGAAACCAGTAAAGTATGTAAGAGTTTCGTATAAATGTTTAATTTATAAGTATATATGAATTGATTAACCATTATAATGAAATTGTATCTGTATCAACAGAGAAAACAATAATGGGCTGTAAACTTTTATAGGTTATATTACTTAAAGCCTCAAATAAGGACTAGTTTTACAGAAGTTACATAGTCCTGTTCAAGCAAAAGTCACTACATAAGTCCAAAGCTGTAGTTTTAAGATATTGGCAATTTAAACATTGTGTGTCATTACAAAAAATTTATTTCTTGATTGACAAATAGCCTAAGACTAATGAAATATGCAAATACAATTTTTATATCAATAGTCTGCTGTTTTTAGATTTTAACAGTAATTAAATTAATTTGCCCATATATTAGGTTAATGTAATTAACCAACTATATAGACATTTATTTTAAACAAATTATTGAGATACTTGTACTTATATCACTTTATTCCTCTAATACAACACAATAATTATTCATTTATAATTTTGTATGCATTGTTATCCACCCAAAAATATAATTACAACACTGACTCTACGTTTTGCTGTTCTCAAAAAACTGATTGATGTTCTGTGAATGACCTACTTCCCAATGTGCCCTAATAATGTTTAAAATTGTCTATTGTCTCTGTGATTTTTTCAATTACTAGTAGAGTATTAATTGGTCTATGTATGTTATATCTGAATACTATATTTCTGTAAACTATTTTTCTTTTATTTCTGATGAAAACCACAGACATGGCTTTCTTCTTTCCCATCTATCTGATCTTTTTGATTCTAGCACATTGTGAATCATGTTTTCCTTTAAAATGTTTTAATCATCCTCAAGTCCCATATAAAATTCATCCCCACTATCTCTTTATTTTATTTCAAGTGTTGCAGGTGCCTTATTATAGTCACTTTTCGCTTTCATTAAAAACATGTCCCCTCTTCCTGTATTACCATTTAGTACACCTTTAATATTTATTACATAATGATAAGGTATTCTTGGTGTCTACAAAACTGTGCATTCCCCATTCATCAGTTAATACAAGATCTAACAACGTTTCACTATTATTGGTTGTGCCCCAACTCCATTTATACATTTATACATCACATCAGTTTTTACTATTTCATATGATAAATCATCAATAACATACATTACAGCTTCTCCTGTATGCCTAGTATCTGAATCACATCTAATATTATATTCATCTCTATCTATTACATGTGACTACAATTATTGTTAAGATCAGTTTGGTCTCTTGTAGTGACAGTGCAATGATATCGGTTTTAGCAATTAGACCATTTACATTTAAAACCATCACACCTCTATTATTATGATTTTCTTTTCTTGTTTGTATACTTTCATATGTAATTGCTCTCCTTTTCATACTCGCTCTTCTTTGGCACACTGGACACTCATTTCTGAGTATATTGAGAGTCACATCTAAATGTAATCCTAGTTTCTTATTAACATTCACACAGTTCATAAATTTTATTTGCTCGCCTTTACAATCTTCAGCCAAATGTTGTTCTCCACACTTTAAACATTGCGTTCCCTTATCACAGGAATCATTCCAATGATCTTCTGAGTAGCAATGCATTGAGACATTTCCAGATATTCATTTATTGGACACTGTTGCCATTTTATCTTCAATCTTCTGTTTGTCATCCCCCTTTGGAATGTTTGTGAATCCAGTTCGATAACGACCACTTATGCTTTCTTGGTTTTCATGTTCATCTTTATCTCCAGTTGAGGCTCTGCATAAACTATCTCTAAGCTGTGAATTTTTTATGGCCAATATCAAGTTTATCATCTCCCATTTCTTCCATATCAAAGATTTTATTTGATTTATTGAGGACTGGAATCTGTACTTCACACTCCTTTCCCATCTTTGATCAAAACAGTAAAAATTATTTTTTCATATTTCTAAGTCTTATAGTAGGTTTATTGGTTGCTGTTTCATTTCTTGTAATAGTTAATTAGAACTCACATTTGATTGCAGTAGTCTGTCATAAAGCTTTTTGTAGTTTTAGTGACTTTTTTGCATCAAAAAGTAATCAGATTCTGTGATTTAATTTTGAATCTGTAATCAGTGAACTCATTTCTGTCAAGCCTCAATTCAATTTATTTTACTGAGTTATATATTAATTATAGTTAATAATGTAATTAATTTATATTAATATTAAGTTATACATTTGTATGCAGTATTAACTAGGAAAAAAATTTAATAAATTTAATTTATTGTAGCATACTGCATTGTATTCACTATTTACTTTAAATACCGTAAACAAATACTTAAATTAGCCTTTGTAATTAACAAAATGTGTTGTCAACAAGAACTGCAATAACTGTTGGTTTCAATGAAGCTTTTACTATTTTTGAAGTAAAACCTGTTTATGAATAACTTTCTTGATTTTACAACAGATTTAGATTCTTAGGTTCTTTAAATTTGGCAGGGTCTTATAACAAGAGGAATTACCCTCTTGTGGTTTCTTTCATTTTTTTCATTACTGAGCCAGGTCACTATACTTCTAATTGGAGGTAGGAAAGGGAGAAGAACCTAGTCAACCATAGACATTAATTTTGATTACCTAAGTCTCTGAGCATCCATATCTCAAAAATATATTATTTTATTTTCCAAAGCGGTAGGTATTCTCAGTGTATTGTGTTTTCTAGACAAACCTTAGGCTCACCCTCTTCTGTATCTCTTTATTGCTAAAGGAAAATCTCATTTGTTTGTTTTTGTTTTCATTTATTCTGCTCTAATAAAATTCATTAACTGAATACAGACAACATTTTAACCCTTTACTACTCTGGTGGGGTCCTAGAGTTCTCCGGCTGAAGTGTATTTAAATACAATTCGTAAACCAATTACTAGACAGCACTCATTTAGCCAGTATACTTCAGTGCCATTGTGTTATTAGTTTTGACTGGTGCAAAGTTGTTTGAGGTTAATTTTTGGAATTAGAGGGAAAAAGGTCTCAAAATACCCCACCGTAGTGTTAACATAAGTTATTTCTTATTTCCTTGATTGATGTTTTGTGTGTCTTGGGCCTGTTATGATTGTGTTACAGAATAATCACAAAACAAAATCCCCTTATGTGTCACAACCAAATAGAAAAGGAAGATGCTATATATGTGTGCGAGAATGCGATGAGAGACAAAAGAGTTTGCGAGAAGTGCTGTAAACTCATATGCCCAGATCTAAAAAAAAGTCAGTGTGTAAAAATTCCATGTAATCTACTTTTTTCTTATTATTATAAACATTGTAAACTGATTGAAAGAACAAAATTGGAATTTTTTATTTTATTTTATTGAGTGATTTCATAAACAGTGATATAATTTTTGAGGCACCTGAGGACCCTGCCAGAGATTAGGTGTAAGTGAATTTCAACAGAGTAGTTAAGAGTTATTCTAATGTAAGTAAAACTGAATTCCACATGAATATTGGTAAATTTAACACAATACGGGTAAAATTTTCACTTTCATTTGAAATATAATAAAGTTATTAGCAAATTACATAAACACTGAACAGATTACATTATTGTATTTACTGTATAATTGTAATTTATTGCTACCCAAAGAACTGAACTGTAACTTCTTGGATATCCCACATTAATGAAAGCTGTCAGAGCTGCAAAAAATCATTGCTTTTAAGTCAAACTGCATTAACTGATTTAAGTTTAGTAAGAGAGAAAGAGCTTCATATTTATTATAATGCTTCATATTTTTTATGGTGTGTCACCAGTATTATCAACACTATGAGGTAATTCAGATATATAATTGTCAACAAATTGTAAAAATGGACCTAGGCAGAATATTTCTCCAGTAAATCTGAATTCTATGTTATTTAGTAGGTATCCAACAACTATAATGATCTCATTTGGTATACCTAAATCTGGAATTAGTTTGAGATTAAAGCTACAATCAAATGGTGGTAAGCTTGGAAAAATGCATCCAATGAGGTTAGTACAAACAACAGAACTGACTTCTGTTTATGAGATCTTACTTGGGCACTTCGTACCCGGGAAGAGGCAAACAGGTCTTCTTGGAACAAATTTCTCATGAGATTGTTGAATATGTGTCATTTTTTATGCTCAACAACTAACCTTTTCTTAATTCTTAAATAATTTAAGAAGAAAAGGGTAAAGAGGAAATGTTTGTGGGTGAATCTGTGGATCGCACATCATGAAGCATCAATCATACTGTAATTAACGAACTGAAGATGTGTATGAATTATTTGAGGATGGACGAGGCAACATTCAAATTTCCTTGACTTTCCTATTCTCCACCTACTCTTACTCCACCCCTACTCTTGAACCTGTACTTTATTCTGCATTACCGGTAATGAGGAACCAAAGGGATCTAAGCAGAGCACCACAAAATTTATTATGCGTGGATCTTGTGAATCACACTTGCATGGGAATTACTTAATGTAGATCTTGAAATCGTGTTGTAATGGTAACAATAAAAATGAATGTCTTTGTTTCTTCAAGCACTAGCCTAAAAAAATGGTTTGTGCATCTCATTTCAAGAGAATACATCACATATCATGTTTCAATCTTGAGGCTCTTTTTATATTATACCACAAGGAAATCTTTCTCATTTCTTTAAATATAATTTGTAAACAAAACCCTCCCATGCTCACAGGTACATATTTTCAATACCGACCCATATTTACTGAAATTATGCCCCCGCGGCTTATGCAGTCCGCTATGCTAGGGCTGCTGCATTACAATGTACGATCATTTATGAGAAGTAATGATTGTAGACTTATTTTGGAATAACTGATGAAAAGTCGTTTTTCACCATTTTTTGTATGAACGTTTT